CCAGGAACACCCAACACTGCCCTGATGGCTGTGAGGACTCTCCCACACTGAGAACACCCAAAACTGCCCTGATGGCCGTGAGGACTCTCCCACACTGAGAACACCCAAAACTGCCCTGATGGCCGTGAGGACTCTCCCATACCAGGAACACCCAACGCTGCCCTGATGGCCAGTACAGGGTCCTGTCTTCTACCCTTCTGAGTGGACTGGTCTCAAACGGGGTCTATGATGGTCTCATGGCCATTTCGATGAACCTAGGAAGCCCCCCCCCCCCACAGCTCATAGTTTTCCACCTCATGGAAAAACCATTTATAAATAATCGCTGCTCAGAAGACGACTGAGGATAACACCTGGCCTGGTTTCTGTGATACTGTGAGCATTCAGAAATACTTCAAATACCTGAGAGAGTTTAAGTTCCTAAGCATTGGATGGTGTTGCATACTCATTTCTTTTATGTCCTGTGTTTCCTACACATGGTGTCCACCCAAACACAGTTCTCTTTGAAATCTGCAGAAATATCATTTATCAGCAGGGTTTCCCATCAGCCAATGTGCCAACATGGTAGATTTGCCCATCCTGTCTTGCTACTTCTCCTCAGTGCACCAGGAAACAGAACGGAAGCTAATTATCACGAACTACCTATCCTCACCCTATAGAGTCAACCTAGTAGAACTAAAATCACTGGGGGCTGTGTAAGAGGCAAAGGTCCCTAAAGAAAATAAACACCATGTGAATGATCCAAATGCTGAGGACAGAAAGTCTCTCTGTGACTCAGCTGCCACTGAGGATCCCAGACTATCTCCAATTAGGCCATCCTTTTATAACGATTCTCTTCTGGTGGTGGGGAGCCCACAGTGATTCTGACTTGCAACACGTCCACACTTACAGAGTTGCAGATTAGTAAATGGAGAAGGGGGAAAGAGATGCCTGTGTGATCAGATCAGAAAGTGAAATTCTACGGCAGGAGAGGAATTGGACATACTGGGGGCCCTGGGTCTCCTTTCTCTCCGGCATGTCCATCCCGACCATGTCGTCCCGGCTGCCCTGGAAATCCTGGGGGTCCATCAGGACCTCTTTCTCCTTTGTGCCCTAGGAACAGAGGCCAAAATATATTCAAGTTATTATCAACAGGGGGTGAAGCAGAAAGACACAGGGGACAAAAGACAGAGACAATGGCCTTGACTCTGGACTGGTAGCGTCTCCTCTGAGCGTCTGAGTTGCCCAAAGGCACACACAGCTTGCCAAAGCCAGAGGGAAATGTGACAGCTGCCAAACCCAACTGAGTCTCTTTCTTTGGGAAATGCTCCTTTGCCCTTTCCAACAATGAAGCAGTGTGTGGAGGTGCCAATCACAGAATCTTCCTACACCTGTGTGATGCCAAACTTAGGCCTCTAACACCCAACTGTAGTAAACAGGGAATGGTTCCCAGCTGAGAATGTATCCTAAACTAATCAATCCCTTCTGAAATTAATTTTCTAACTGAAGCTGACAAAATAGTGCTCTCTTCATCTCTGGTTGTAAGACCTTGAAGCCACCTCCCAATGCCACAGCAGGCCTGACTCTTGTCCCCTTGAAAATCCTATTTCCAATCTTTCACATCTTTTTTAGGTAAGTCAACAAATTATTTTTTTAAAAAATTTTAAAAACCTACTTCAATCTGAGTCTCTGTCACTTACAACTAAGACATTGTGGACTAATACAAAACGATACTGTGATGTGGTGAATAAACACCAGGTAAGACAAAGGGAAGGCTTGCTTCAAACCCAAGTTCACGTCAGTGAAGATGTGACTATGTGGCTAAAGGAATATTTACATGTTTTCAAATAAGAGACAAGGGATTTGCCTCATATGACTCTATGAAAGGAAGACAATATTTTTAAAGCATTCTCAAGAATCCTAACTTATAAAGAATTGATCTATGGCCACAGGAGAAATTAGTGCAAGAGGATGGTCTACGGATCACTCCTATTCTGCAAGGAGCTAAGAGTTACGCTGACCTTTAACTCTTGGTACGACTGTGTCGCCCTTTTCTCCTTTGTTGCCAGGTAGTCCTGAGGCACCAGGTTTTCCCTGATTGAAAAATGAAAGCAACAAATTAGATTAATTGTGATGGGCCAACCAAAAGTTACACTTGTGCATATCAAAACTCTCTCTTCTTCCCTCTTAAATACCTTATTAAGGATTCTGGCTTGGCAATCTTCATCTTATCTTCTTCTTTGGCATTTAAGGTGGTTCTACCTTACAAAATCAGTAAAACCTGCTATAATCTAAATAGGGTCTGTGCCTGAGTTAATAGAAATGTATCAATGTCAATTTCCTGGTTTTAACAAAGTCCTGTGGTTTTATAAGTTGTCACTGGTGCAAGCTGAATGGGCAGAAGGGAATTCTATCTTATTATGAAACCCCTTCTAAATCTTCAACCATCTCAAATAAAAATTTGTAATTGAAGAGTTTTTTTTCTATTA